GCCAAATGGATAATAAAGGTCCTGGAATTAGACTGTCCCACTATAGAGCCTCCTCAGGGTGCTACTAAAATCCTTACTCCTCAGACTGTAGATGAAGGGATTCAGCATAGGGGTGACCACAGTGTACATCAGAGAGGCCACCATGGCCTTGCTGGAAGAATATGACACCGCTGAACTAAGGTACACAGAAAGGCCTGTTCCGTAAAATAGGCAAACAACTGACAAGTGAGAACTACAGGTAGAAAAAGCTTTGTACCTCCCACCTGATGATGGCATTTTTAGAAGGCTGCATACAATTTTAGAATAAGAGAAAATGATCCCTGCCAGGGGGAAAAAGCCAAATATGACACCAGCAAAATATGTGACAATGTTTGTCATTAATGTATCACAACAAGAAAGCATAAGGAGTTGAGAAGGGTGACCGAAGAAATTAGCAATTTTAACATCCTTGAAGCAAGTAAGTTGTAAGGCAAGGAAATTGTGCACCTGAGAAGCTAAAAAACTAAAAAAGACAGAGACCAATATTAGTAGAACACAGAAGTGAGGATTCATAATGACAACATAATGCAGGGGGTTGCAGATGGCCACAAAACGCTCATAGGCCATCACAGTCAGAAGCATGTCATCCATACACATGCAAATGATAAAGAAATTCATCTATATCAGGCAGCGCACATAGGAGATGACCCTGCTCTGCATTAGGCTGTCCACTATCATCTTTGGGACAGTAGTGGAGATAAAACATATGTCATCCATGGACAGATTGGAGAGGAAAAAGTACATAGGGGTGTGGAAGTGGGAGTCATAGATAACAGCCAGGATGATGAGCAGGTTCCCAAGCACTGTGACCAGGTACAAGGACAGGAAAAGTCCAAAGAGAATGGGCTGCAAGTCTGGATCTTTTGAGAAGTCCAGGAGATGGAATGCAGAGACACTTGTGAAATTGTATGTTTTCATGTTGTTTGAGCAACCTAACAAAAAGGAATTTCATTGGAAAAATGAAACAGGCACCCTGGATTCTGTACTTTGAATTGAAATAGTTCCAAGTAAACTCCTTACATTTGAAGACTAAAACCTTCAGTAATATTTCTCTGTTCTGAAAAACTCTCTTCCTCATGGGCTTTTTCATTATATGGTTTCTTGACATCCACCTCCATCAACACACTCCTAATTTTCAGACCCTGCAGTGAATTCTGTTAGGAGACCAAGAACTATAGAGTTCAGAAGTCCATAATCCCAGAAATATACAGCTAACTCTTTTTTAGAAAAAAGAATAGAAAGTTATCCCATCCCTCTTTAAAAAGTAATATTATTGGGGTTTTGGTACCTGCCATGCAGACACAAGGTCCCAAGTTCAATCCTCAGTACAAAAAAAAAGGAATACTATTGGAAAAAAAATTTTATTTTGGTACCCTGTATCGAACTCGGGTCCTTGCTCATTCAGGACAGGTGGCAGAACCACTAAGCTAAATCCCCGGACCCTGGAAGAAATTTTTTAAAACAATAAAATATATCTTATTTTATTTTCATAATATGGTACAAATTCTCCTGATTTGGGGTATCTACAAATAGTACAAGATTTATGACTACAGTATTTGAAAATTAAATTAAATTTTTATAGTCTGAACACATTTTGTTGAGCCAGTTAGCTCACACAAA